ACCCTAATCGAAGATTGGGGGGTAAATAGCTTTTGTCTTATCCGTCCGGCTGCCTGTATATCTGTCTGTTTTTATGTTCGCAAAAACTTTAACCTTCCTCATCACTTTTCAGTTAGTAGGGCCATGGATTTCATATTTCACAGCATTATTGCTTATGACAGGACCTTTCTTTGGGTACCACCAGTTGTGACCGCTTGGCCTTGGAAGTTGACACATTTTTACAAAAATTCCCACACCTTAACATGGGTCATAACTTTTGAACAGTTGGTTGGTGCTAGGGCTTTCATACTTCACATGTGTATTCTTGTGACAAGGCCTTACAGTATATTTTTGACTTTTTGAACTTTACCTTATAGTTTGACATACCTTTTAAAATTTTAACGTTGGATATAATTTTTGAACAGTAAGAACTAGGGTTTTCATATTTCGCAGGTGTATACCATACTTCCTTTGGGTACAACAACTTCGATCTTTAGACCTTGACCTTTTGATTTTGATCTTGCATTTTAGAAATTTAAATCCTCACCATACGCTTGACAATTTAAAAAAAATCCTGTTTCCATGTATTAATTTTCTTCCCCCCCCCCCTTTATTTCAACAAAATAGTACAAAATTTCAAAATATTGACTCGATGGAACATTTCCGATGTTTATATTACATTGCCTACATCTTTAACTTTCATAAATCACCAAAGAACATTCTGTTACAATTAGTTTAATGTTTCACATTTTTTTTTGCTAGTTTGACTGGAGCATCAGTGTTTCTCAAACAGATCTTGTTTCCAAAACAACAAACAAAATAAAATTCTGCTTTGATAGAAACTCTTGAGTCAAAAACTAGCTATAATATTAAGGTGGCAAATGCTTTAACTTTTAAAATGATGGCCACATTTGAAATAGTTCTATATAAATCATAATTCGTTATTTTTGGTGAATGCCGTCAATAACATCCACACTTCAGTGCACAGTTGGAAGCAACCTGGAAACGATGACAGCACCCTTGCACTTGAACATGGACCTCCAAAACATCAGAGGTGGGATCAGGTGCCTTGGAGGAGTGAGCATCCCCTGCCGACCGGTCAACAATAATCGAAATCTACATTCACTTGTGAATTTCACGTACATATAGACTATAGAATATTGCCACTTGTAAATTTCACGTACATTTAGACTATAGAATATTGCCATATGCTTAAAATTTTATATATCTTATCCAATTAGATTGTTTGGAGAGGATGAAACTTTATGTTAAATAATAATTTCTTTTATTTTGGCTGAGTTGTTTCATACTTAAATCGACTACCTGATAATAAAACTGATCACGGGATGCTTAGTGATTCTAGGCACCTGATCCCATCTATAGAATTCCCAGGGGTCCGTGTTTTATGTCATCTTCACATATTTGTATTGTTCATAATTTTTTTTAAATCGACCACTTTTCCTTATTTTAACCTTTTACGTTTGAAAACAAGACAGAATTTATTTATTTGAAATGTGGTGGAATCGCTAATGTGGAGCAGAAGAGAGATAAATAGGCCACACATCATTCTTCTTTAATGGAGGAATATTATCAAATACCGGGTAATATGAAAGGATGTTAATTAACAAAATGGAAATATAGCTAGTATGATGAATTGGTAAAGGTCAAAACAAAACAAAAAATCAGACAAACTACACCCACTGCTTAATTTATCACCAAAATACTTTTTTTAAATTAAATAAATGGCTTCTGCTATTAAACGACAGACACCCCAGTTTGTTTGACCAATACCCGTTATGACATGTTTACGTCTGTTGAAGCCAACGGCTGTTTTGAGATCACTATCATTTATGGTAGCATCGCACCAATGCTGCTAATATACTTTAAATAAACCTTAATTCTAATCAATAACAAGCAGTTAGTTTTATTTTTGTTCACCTTACGGTCATGTTGCTGGCTCAAGTGAAGGTATCAATGACATTCAAATTATCTTTTTCCCGGAAATGTCAGCGAATGCAAAATCCTCATTATTTCATTATGTATATTTTTCGAATTCATAATAGCATCCTAAAATTGAGCAGATCAATTGTTTGATAATGCTGAGACCTGTTTTTATCTAACAATAAATGTACGTTATTTATTTAAACCCTTCTCAGTGTTCATTTTAGGCATTATTTGTTAAACTTCTTCAAAAAGTCACTGACATTGCCACAAAGTGTAAACTATATCAAAAATGAATCTACATGCCAAATAACAATTCTTAAAGAGGCCAAAACAAGTGAAAACAAAGGTCATAGTCACACCGGTCCGCTGAATTTATTTCCGGAATTTTGTATTGCATTTCCGACATATTTACTTTCATTTTCGACATTTTTTACTTTCATTTCCAAAAGTGGAAAACTTTTTGTGTCAATCGTTCCTTATTGTTGTAATTAAATGCATTTGTCAAGAATGTTACAAATAATCCGATAAATTTTCTGTAAACACTGAGCTACCACAATGAGATTAACTAATACCTTTACTACGAGTACATCCAATATGATGTCGACGGCACGGAAAATCTTTCATCATCGATAGTTAACCGTTACATGTAAAGGAGCTAAATTTGATTGTCTTGATGATTGCAATGCCACACAATATTTCCTAACCTGCCAAAGACGTTTCTTCGTGCAAAGGGGCATGGACACAGTTTCAGCTAAAAAAATTCAAATTTATTTTTCCCATTTTTACAAATATGTAACTATAAGGTCTTTCTAATGATCATCAAAAATTTGAACTTCAGTTGTCAAGATACATAACAGATTTAGAGCTCCAAATCTTTGTTATGTAAACACGACCTGTGTCATGTTTTTGTTTACATATGTTAATATACCAATATATGTATGTCCAAAGCAGATAATTTCAATAAAAAGGTTAATTCTGAATACGATTAAACATTTTCTAGTGATTTGCTGAATTTCATTATGTGAAAAATACGATATTATTTTCTATATGTAAACATAAACAAGGCACAAGCCTTGTTTACATTGTGAAGAACTTTAAGTTTTGTATCTCGTTTGTTAATCAACAAATGATGTTCAAATATTTTCTGATCATTAGATAATGCCTTAGTTTGGAATTAAAAACATTAAAACTGGTTTATAAAATTCAGTTGAAACTGTGTCCATGTCCCTTTAACACAAAAAATTAAAAATCTTAGGATTCACAAAAATGGGATGATAAATATGGACGCGTATATATGACAATGAATTTTAAAATACTACTATGAATTCTAATACAGGTAATTGTGATTGATGCGGAGAATTGAATTGAAGTTTAATTGAATAAATTTATTTGAAGAAATAGTGGAAGAATTTCGTTAAAAATAGATTTTTAGATATATATAAACATACTCGTTTATATCTTCAAGTGCATAATTTATTTATGAAAAAAAAAAAAAAAACTTTTTATAATACTTTGTAAATAATTTAATTTTGATATCTTATACAGAATGGCTGCTCAATGCTCAAGGTTGTATTTACTGAATAGACCCTGTCCCTGTGCCTCAGCTTTTTCGTACAAAGTTGAGAGTATAAAGTATTTTTAATAATACTAATTAGAAAAAAAAGAGTGAATAAATTCTTCCAAGTTATTTAATCTTTTAACACTTTTATTTGTCTTGCTTATTTAAAATGATTAAGGAAGTGCCCATTATGGTTTTCGTATTTAATGCAATCATTTTTTTTAAAGTAATTTTATATATATATAAACAGCATCATAGATCTACATGTCATCAAATCCTTTAAGTCAATTATCAAAAAAGACTTTATCAAAATGTTAAACGAGTATTAAATGCCATTTATCCCTTCGCAACGAAGTTGGAGAGGATTTAGTTACTCAATCATATGTTCGATGTGGGTGAGTTAGCGTTGTACGAAACGGAAGTGAAGTAATTTGCACCAGGATTGATGTCAAATGCTGGTTTGATTTATCGATATGCTCTTTGCGAGGGGATGCTCCGCTTAGCAGTGCCCTTGTTTTAATTTATACGGTTATCAAAACGCTGACGAGCTTATATCGTGCCATGCAATTGTAACAGATGCAATGCATGTCAGGTATGTACATGTATATAAGAGATAATAACAGTTGAAAAATACATTCAATACTCTAGTGTTGGAACCAACAACGCCCAGTATGACAAAGATTTCATGCATAATTTTGATGGCTATACATCTTATTTCGTTTCCAAATATTTACGGCAAGACACTGGTACTTAGAAATAAACAGACAAGAGAACTGACCAAATCCTCTACTTCAGGTAGATGTTTTGTTTGTTTTTATCATCAACTTCTTGTTAATGTTGTCCATTTTTAATGAATTCGTTTTTTAAAATTAAATTTCAAAATGACATTTTTTGTATCTTTTTTAAAGTCCCCTCTACGCGTGGAGTTAGTTTCTCTGTATCTTTGTCATCTGCCACACCTAAGCTTGGAACAAAACAGACGGTGATATATGACGAGGTTTTGACAAATGATGGCGACGGATATGACGACCGAACAGGAGTGTTCGAGTGTCCAGTGACAGGGACCTATATGTTTGTTGTCGATTCCTTGTCGAAAGGTACTATTACGCTGGGAATCAAAGTGAATAAGGAGTATGTGGTATTTATGCACCGCTCTGGACATGAACACTACATACAGATAAGCAGGACGGTGATTGTGAAACTAAATAAGGGTGATCACGTGAAAGTTGATAGTATATATATGTATGGGTATGTTCATCCGTATAACTATTCCGGATTTACTGGAACATTGTTGTACTGACTGTAAATTACATTCATTCAGGTTTCTATAGGTAAATTATAAATCAGATATTCAAATAAATCTTAGAGAGGATTGAATACTTTTCTTTCTTTGTAAAGTCTTTCCTTTACACTGGTATATACATGTATAAGTGTTTCTCCCTCTACATCAAAATCTGAATCACCACCTTGTAAAGATTTTCTGTCAAGCCCACTCATCCCTTGTGTCTTCAAATATTCTTATATTTTCGATTCCATGAATTGAATTGTAGGCTTTGTAATATAATGCATGTACATCGCTGTTTTCAGAAAAATTTGAACTTACAAATTTACTTACCTTTTTATTAGTCAGTTGCTCGATTATTTTATTAAAAGTTAAAACATTTTGATTGTATATACAACTACTCTGAAGTTGGTAGTCGCTCGCGTGGTGCATTGGTTATAGCGTCTGCTCCAGAGTCGCGAAGTAAGTAGTTGATCCTTACGACGGCTTCGAATCCCACTTTGGGACGTGGAGACTGGTCCTTCGGATGAGACCGTACAAACCGAGGTCCCATGTCGCGGTAGGTGCTGGCACGATTCCAATCACTCTGAGTGGCGAGCATAGGACAAAATTTGCAGATCTCCACCGGCAAGTGGTGGCGTCTCCAAATGAGTGAACAATTCTCGAGAGGGACGTTAAACAACATACCATCAATCTGAAGTTGACATTTGAAAGATACTTGAGTTTCTGATTGACTATATCTGTAAAGTTTTGGATATCAGATCTTCTAACAATCTGCCGGAGTTCTCTTGGGTACATGTAGCAACTGCGACCCGTTATTAGCAGACTTATTTTTGTACTCAAATAAAGCAGAATTTATTTAAAATTTAACATGGATTATCAATTAACAATAGCTTCTTAGATTTATATGTCGACCCAATATATCTTAGTGATCTTAAAAAAAATATAACACAAAGTCGGACATAACTGTTTAATGTTTGGAGATTTTACCACAAAGAAACGTTAATCAAACAGATCTTTATGATACATGTAAACTTGTCAACTTCAACTTTTTTAATCATCAACTTCCTTTCCTTATGTAGCAGTATACCCTTATCACCATATGGCGTTTATGTCACCCGGTTGAATAAACAACATAAAAAAATATCAACAGCCACTTTTAAAATAATCATTTGGCAGGTTCGATGTTCGATACAATGACATTGATTGCAAACAAATTCAATCATCTTAAAAGTCGAATGTTGACTAACTTTTTCATACTAATTGTCAGAATATTATTTACACCATGAATTGTCTACGGATTTTTTTTTTTTTTTTTTTTGTTTTACCGACAAAACAAAAAACGTACGGCGGGTGTGACCGGTCAACAGGGTATGCTTACTATTCTGTGGCAATTGATCCTACCTCTGATGATTTTAGACGACTGTGATTTCTCTGCTCCCAATGTGTATTCATCCAACGAACATCTGAGCTTGATTAATGTTTATTATCTTTATACATGTATATTGCCTAACTGCGGATGATATGAATTAACTGCATCAAAATTTTATGTAATAAGAACTCTCAAGTGATTTAGAGGGTTCCTAAACTAGTAGCCGAATTCGTTTGCCAAGTAGTTAGCATATGATTTCAATCAGAATAACACTCTCCAAAAGGGCTAATGATTGTCTTTCAATGATTTAATTCATGATTAGTTATAATGATTTTATTTCTCCTTAGACTGATTCTGAAGAAATATTTTTAAGATTTTCTTTATAAAATAATGTCTAAAAAGGTTTTTTTCGTAAGGGGAAAAAGGCAATCAAACAAATTAAGTAAAGATGTTACAATAGAATAACTCTGTTAAGAACTACATGTTTTGTGTATTATCGGTTTTGGATGATTATTTTATTTTTTGTTTAACATTTAAAACTCAATGTCCGGAGACATCAGTAGAATGGTGGTACCAACCAATATCTATCAACTGACGACAATAATTTACTATAACCAGCTTATTGTAAACCTGTCCCTTATTCGTGAAAACATGATTGTTTTAAGGTCAATATCCTTCTTTTGTCTTTTTTATAGAACCGAAATGCCCAAAGTCTTTCATTTTGATAAATTTCATAAATTTAGAATTCGTAACAGAAGCAAAATGGTATTATGACATAAAAATATACAGGACAAGTTATAAAACTATCTCAATTACAAAAGTAAAGCTTATAATTTTCTATAAAAATGGGATTGTAATCTATGGTGTTGAAGATTTGATTTGTTAAATACTTGTAAAGCTGACATGATAGAAAGGCGTTGCAATCTCTGTCAATAATTATCAGATCTTTGGACTTATTGAAAGGTCAAGGTCAGTCTGAAGCTAGGACGTCATTGGTATTGAGGCTATAAAAACTATTTAACATTGAGAAAGAAATCTTGCTTTTTGCCCCATATTTCTTTTAGGTTTTATCCAGTTACTGAAAATCAGTTAATATCTGTGGTTTTGCTGTCGTTCAGGTAAGCCTATAATTTAGTGTTTTTAAAGCATATAGACAGCATCATCATTTTTATATACTTTAAAGAAATAATAGAAATGCCTTAGGTATCGACAGAACTTTTAAGCGGATTTTCAGTAAAAAATAAAACAGTGAAGAAAAAATAGTAATGAGTAGACAATATTAATTGTCCTTTTATTTTAATTTTATATACCTTATTATATATACAACTTATTATAATTTATCTTAATATTCTCAAACTTTGACAATATATCAAATGGTCCTCATCATTATATATCATTTGTCCAATATACTTATGCAGCAATATACCTTCATCACCTGCATACGGATTTTATATCTTTCAGTTGATTCGATAGGCAAGAGCATGCTCTTTATATGAACAATTTCTTAAACGAGGTACATTATTGACACACAAGTTGATAAAACATTAAATATCAGCAAGTCATCATTTTGTAAGTTCTACATGTATGGTCGGTACAATGACCTTGTTAGCAAATACAATTTATCATTTAGTGAAATGCTGAGTGGCGTTTTTTCCTATTAATGGCGAGGCCATTAATTACACACTGAATTGTCGACGGATTTTTGCAGTCGTATTATAATACTATAGTCTTTTTTTTTCTTTTGAAAAAAAAATAGCCTCCTATGTGACTCTCCCCTCGTCACTGCGGCAAGGATTTGTACACTTTATGACGTTCTTTTACTATTCCTTGGGTGAATAAAGCTCATGGTTTCTTGTAAGAATTTAAGATGGAAGTAAGTGACTTTGTTTAATAAAAGATGACATTTTGGGGCTTAAGTGGCCGTTTTGAAAGCCATTGTGGTTATTGATGAATATTTACATCCAGTGAATATTTTCTCCCTTATTTCTTAAGAAAACCCATTGCGTTAATCACTGCATGAACTACAATAGGCATGTCGCCAGTACAGATTTCTTGATCAGTGGCTGTTCCATCAATGAAACGTATAAAGACGTTCGCATAATTAATACAATAATTAATCTTTTTAATCCTACTTTAAATGATTTTTAAACAGATTTAAATATAAACAATAAAATGTCTTTCTTTGTTTGTTATTACTGGAATTAACGGTTGCAGATATTGCAGAAAAAAATTTACATATGTATTTTTTCTGCAACAGCTGCTTCCATTAATTCCAGAAATAACAAACAAAGAAAGCATTTTATTGTTTAAATATTAAGCATTCACCATTTTTATACTGACAAATAAATGGATGAAATATAGAGATAACGAGCAGTATTCAAGCTCTAAAGTCTTTTTTAAACCATACAAATCGGGAGTAGAGAAAACACTGACCTCTTAAGCAAAAGCTGTGGATTCGAATACCATAGAGGAAGAGCATCTTCTGTATACCGGTCACACCCACGGCCTTATGCTTCTCGTCATGATCGGAAAATAATGGAAAAATCCGAAGACAATTCAAAGTGTATATAATGGCCTCACGATTATTAGTATGAAAAACGTCAGTCAGCATTTGCGAAGTACTTGATGACAAGGTCATTGCATGGACCATTGAACTTGCAAAATGATGACTTTAAAAAGACTGATGAAATTCTTGTATCATCAACTGTTTGTCAATAACTTACCAGTATTGAACAAAGGTAGAACATGTCCTTGCAAATCATATCAAGTAAGTATAAGAGAAATAAATCCCATATGAAGATGATAAAGGTATATTGCTACATAAGAAAGAGAAGTTGGGGATTGAAAAGTTGGTCACCACCTTTATCATAAAACTTTGTTGTAATGTTACCATTAAGGTCTTTATTAAGAACCCTCTCTACACTGCACACTAAAGAGTTCTGACTCTATGGTATTTTTTAGCAGTTAGAGTGATCTGCCCTTAGATCTAAATTCTTAACATTTTAAAAGGCCAAGATAATAAATTAAGTGAACTTGTTATTTCCATGTACTTTCTCCGTGGAAGTAAACAAGTGATTTCTATTCACTGATACTGCGTTGTGTTTAATTATTTTTCCCGGGGGTTACATGCCACGTACCATATAGTGAAAATTAATTAAAGAAGCTTAATATTAACACTTTTATAGAATATATTTCTCTCAATCTCCAAAAAACATTTTGCACCAGTGTAGAGAGGGTCCTTAAAATATCCGAATATGAAACACTTTTATCAAACTCTGTGGTGTCGTTTTTAGGGCTGACTGAGATATATCGTAGGGGCATATGAATGAAAGTAATTATTGTAAATTGATAATACGTCGTCGTTATATCTTAATATTTACATTTCCAATAATTTTCCCCTATGATTCTTTACAAAAAAAAATGCAGCTCATTGTCTCATGAACTACATTACGTATGTACCACGAATAAGCATGAATATCTCCATTTTTACGTCACAAAACCGCTCTTGGGGTTAAAAAATATTGTGCTTTAAAAATGAGGGTTGAATGTCGTAAATTTATGGCAAGTCATCCGAGAAATAATGTAAATATAAGAAATGAATTCAATTTTTGAAGATTCATGAGGTATATGAACTACAACGCTCCAC